TGCATCCAAAGAACACCATACCTACTGTGAAGCATGGGGGTGGAAACATCATGCTTTGGGGCTGTTTTTCTGCAAAGGGACCAGGACGACTGATCCGTGTAAAGGAAAGAATGAATGGGGCCATGTATCATGAGATTTTGAGGGAAAACCTCCTTCTATCAGCAAGGGCATTGAAGATTAAACGTGGCTGGGTCTTTCAGCATGACAATGATCCCAAACACACCGCCCGGGCAACGAAGGAGTGGCTTCGTAAGAAGCATTTCAAGGTCCTGGAGTGGCCTAGCCAGTCTCCAGATCTCAACCCCATAGAAAATCTTTGGAGGGAGTTGAAAGTCCATGTTGCCCAGCGACAGCCCCAAAACATCACTGCTCTAGAGGAGATCTGCATGGAGGAATGGGCCAAAATACCAGCAACAGTGTGTGAAAACCTTGTGAAGACTTACAGAACACGTTTGACCTGTGTCATTGCCAACAAAGGGTATATAACAAAGTATTGAGAAACTTTTGTTATTGACCAAATACTTATTTTCCACCATAATTTGCAAATAAATTCATTAAAAATCCTACAATGTGATTTTCTTAATTTTTTTCTCAATTTGTCTGTCATAGTTGACGTGTACCTATGATGAAAATTACAGGCCTCTCTCATCTTTTTAAGTGGGAGAACTTGCACAATTGGTGGCTGACTAAATACTTTTTTTCCCCACTGTATATATATATATATACACATATATATATATATATATATATATATATATATATATATATATATATATATATATATATATATATGTTTCCTGATCTTTCTTATATCTCTCAGATATAGGACAGACACTTCAGAACAAACTTCCTTTATATTTTTGGGGGACTATCTGTTGTTCCATGTAGTGAATACGTTATTCAATGTGTTTGTATGGGTTAATAGCAGTAAGGCAAAATGTTCATCAAATAACTGTTTGATACTACAATGGGTCTTAAAATTAATTTAGATATGATCTTCTTAAAACTGTTCCATATAGCTTAGTAGAACCCCCCCTCCACATTATCATAGGATGACTTGAGAGAATGATGATCTACACCAGACAGCGCATCTCAGTATCAGAAGTAAAAATACAGCCAGACTGGCATTCTACTGTGCCTTTCTAGACCTTATAAACTGTCCAGAGTAGACCCACAACTTATCCAAATGGAACAAAACATTCAAATCACAGGGCTTTTGCACCGTTATTCAAATGAGCTTTTTGAGCTGCATGTCTCATGTCTTCAATGTCCTTTCATGCGCAATGACGCACCTGGCCTCTCCGCTGCTTATCAGCTATTCCTATTTGTTCTTGTGGATTCAAATAAAAAATGTATGCAGCTTTGAATGATTTTATGTGTGGTATGATTGCTAGTTAGCCTATTGCAGATCTGGACAAATGATCCACCTAGACTAATTTACCAATCTAAAATGTTTTTGCTGACATGGGCTAATTGAGTGACTGCTGATGCACAACCAAATTTTCGGAATTGCATCTTGTGTATTCTATTATTCTAACTCTCAACAGTAAGTTGAGACCCCGATTGAGTTCCAAAAAATATAAAAATATTTGGTCCGTGGGCCAACAAAAGGGGGGCCTACGGCTCCCATCCCTGATCTAGAGCGTATAACCTTGCCCCAGTCCTTCTCTATATTGATCTGATAGCTATTTTCAAGGGTTATCTCTTCATCCGTGTCCTGTCATTGCAGTTGAGGAAATGGTTTTTGTAGTGTGATAGCATACTCTCCCAAATCTACCTCTACATTCATGGTTATTGCCGAGTTCAAGACAACTTAGAACTCTGAAACGCCAAGATTTCCTACTTGGAAACTTGTAGAAAGATGAGGTCTGAGTTTCCCATTTGAAATAATCAGAATCAAACAATAGGAAGCTCTACGCACAATAGAGCTTGCCAGTTTGTTCTCCTAAAAATCGTTCAGCCATTCCTATGGGTGAAATGAATGGGGAAAGAATGGGGTTTGGAGATAAATGCCAAAAATAAGGTCAGAGGTTAACCCAGGCTTAGGAGATCTTATACTTTTTGTTCTATGAGATTATATCAGTCAGTAAACATCACGTTTATTATGAAGCCTTTATGTGCTTTGTGTTCTTATTTTGATTACATAAATGCTTCAAAATTCATACCTTATTTTCGACGTTTATCCCCCAAAAAACAGGCATTTCCCCATAGGCTTTGGCCAACGAGCCATGCCGATATAAGCCTCCGTTAGTGCCTACAAAAAGACGCCATTAGTATTGCTCTCTGTAGTGACTCTGTTTGTCCTTTGCACCTCATCACAATATAGTGCAGGTACATGTCCAGTCATGTCCATTCTAGTGTGTGCATGTGTCCATTTGTTTTACTCCAACTATCCACAGTACATACAGCACTACTTTTGGAAGTGTTGTGTTAGTGATTTCCAGTAAAAAATATGGATACAGACCTGCTTTCTGGCTGCCTCAATGTGTCGAGGAAGAGAAGCACCAGTGTACCATAAAGTATTTCACTGTAGTTTCCTGTGGGAAGGTTTCCCTCTGTTGGTTACAAGTGGTAGGCTACAACTAACCCCCTCTCAGGAAGGGATGACATCCCTATCAGCACCACCAGCCATAGTGATTGGGCGCATTCGAGCAAATCATTTTTGTCAAGTCGTCACCACCTTTTAAAGTGTCCTGCATTATGAGGATAAAAATTTTCCCACATGACCCTATATGTCGACTGCATGAACATGACAAAAATGTGATCAAAGGTAATGAAGTTTTGACTGCAGTCGACTGCAAGTTTCTGCAGTTGCTCTTCACCAACTTCATCTTGCAGCCATCGCCTGCATTGTGGGAGGCTTTCTTGTTAACCAATCATTAGGGTGTTTTTGTTTGACCCAAGCAAACATGACCAAAGACGTGACTGAAACAGGAACCAACTTTGCTGCAATTCATGTGTACAGTGGATAGTTACAAATGAATGTCACCAATATATATAAATATAAAATATAAACGCTACATGTAAAATGTTGGTCCCATGTTTCATGAGCTGAAATAAAAGATCCCAGAAATGTTCCATATGCACAAAAAGCTTATTTCTCTCAAATTGTGTGCACAAATTTGTTTACATCCCTGTTAGTGAGCATGTATCCTTTGCCAAGATAATCCATCCACCTGACGGGTGTGGCATATCAAGAAGCTGATTAAACAGCATGATCATTACACAGGTGCACCTTGTGCTGGGGACAATAAAAGGCCACTAAAATGTGCAGTTTTGTCACAGAACACAATGCCACAGATGTCTTAAGTTTTGAGGGAGCGTGCAATTGGCATGCTGACTGCAAGAATGTCCACCAGAGCTGTTGCCGGAGAATTGAATGTTCATTTCTCTACCATAAGCTGCCTCCAATGACATTTTAGAGAATTTGGCAGTACGTCCAACTGGACTAAAAACTGCAGACCACGTGTAATCACGCCAGCCGAGGACCACATCCTGCTTCTTCACCTGCGGGATCGTCTGAGACTAGCCACCTGGACAGCTGATGAAACTGAGGAGCATTTCTGTCTGTAATAAAGCCTTTTAGTGAGGAAAAACTAATTCTGATTGGCTGGGCCTGACTTCCCAGTGGGTGGGCTTGGCTCCCAAGTGTGTGGGCCTATGCCCTCCCAGGTCCACCCATGGCTGTACCCCTGCCCAGTCATGTGAAATCCATAGATTAGGGCCTAATGAATTCATTTCAATTGACACATTTCCTTATATGAACTGTAACTCAGTAAAATCTTGAAATTGTTGCATGTTGCATTTCTATTTTTGTTCAGTATAGATGGTACAATGATTCCCAACCCTATTCAGTGCTTGTTTTCTCACATAAACTGAAATTCAGCGAACAGTGTAGCATTCTAGCAACCAGGAAATGACAGAGCGATTTCCACTAGTTAACACAGCCACAAAGTCAGAACAGCTTTCACATTTTGACAACAGATGCGGCTCTGGCGGGAGAAATCAATGGGCGAATATCACAGCCAATCACAACATTGGCAGGTAAGTAATACTGTGAAACACTATCATTCCACTATTACTGCAGATATATTATGGACATTTTTTGAAATTATAATGCAAAAATTATTTTAAAAAATCCTGTGTGGAGCACCATTAAAGGGCCAAAGAGTTTGAAAAAATATTGCGATACTGGTATCGTCACAGCCCTAAACAACATATGTATTGACAATGTATATATACTGTATATGACCATAACAACATGTGTATTGACTATGTCTGCATATGACCAAACAACATGTGTATTGACTATGTCTGTATATGACCAAAACAACAGGTGTATTGACATAGTATATGACCAAAACAACATATGTAAAGAGGTCTACATGAGTGAACGTTGAGCCACCTGCCAACAAAAGCCTCAAACATTTCAGATCACACAGTGACAGAGGGTGACACTGCTGTCACATAAGGCATCAGCCAGTCATAGGCCATGAGTCTGTGAGTCTGTATGTCCGTCCATCCCTCAGCCACAGTGTAAAGCAGTTGGCATCATAGTAGAAAAGATGATGTAGCTATGAGACCCACAAGCCATTAGTTCATTTAAATGTAAAACCATTATCTCTTCTTCACCACAGCCAGTATCCACCACCTCACCACTTCCAGTCCCCCCAGTTTGTATCCCCTAGTCCCCCAGGTTCAGCCTCCCTGGTCAGGGTCAGACCAGTCTAAAGGCCCCCAGGAAAGTAGAGTCTCCATCCAGAGAAATGTTGGCTGTAGAGCGAGGTATCAACAGCTCCACACTGTCCCCGACCTCCAGCTTCACTATACCTACAGAGAAGAGAGTTAACACACTCATATACGTACAGGGACGTACGCAAACACACACAAACATGCACACGTACGCACTCACCCCCTGTGTAGCAGGTGTTGTATGGGTAGACAGGGTTCATGTTCTGGATACAGCGGAACAGTGTGACATGCTGAGCTTCATCTCCCACAACGTTCCTCTTCTTCCTGTTCACCACATGACCCATGGCAAAGGTCCTGTCCATGTAGTACACCTGTATGAGGAGACAGACAGACACAGACAGACAGACAGACAGACAGACAGACAGACAGACAGACAGACAGACAGACAGACAGACACAGACAGACAGAGAGCGAGCGAGACAGAGAGTAGTTAGAGCCATGACCTATACAGAACATGTGCAGGAGAAGAAGATGAATGTTGTTGGACTTGTGAGCTATTGTAGTACACCTGGAGAGAGAGAAGGGGAGAGTTAGGTATTGTGAGCTGTTGTGTCTATGTAATAGCTCAGAGCTACTGTACCTTTATCCCATGTGATCTAGCACTAATATGATACACCAAGTTCTCTCCTGTAGACGACCAGTGCTCACCTGGCTGTAGACAAAGTAGTATCCCTCCTCTCTGACAAGAATGCTGTCACTCTCTGCCTCCAGGGCGGAGCCTCTCCTAAGCCCCTCCTGCCAGGGGATCCCTGTGTGAGGCTCCAACGCAAACTCTGCACAACACCAGAAACACAAACCATGCATGAACCAATCAAAACTCCATCGACCTCGACAAACAAACCATGCGTGAGTCGATCCAAACACGAACTACCTAGCATAGCCCAAGTCCCAGTCTGTATGTCCTTAAGTCAATTTAAGTATTTCTGGTAAAATTGTAATTCCTGGTTTACAGTACCTTTCTGGAATGTTTTCCTGTTGCTATCTGCCAGCATCTGTAGACAGGGTTGAGACACTAGAGGGTAGGACAGAGGGAGAGTTTAGCATTGATTCAAACTACCCAATAGTCCCCTCCATGTAGCCCAACTCTCACACTCTCTCACACACACACACACACAGACACACACACACACACACACACACACACACACACACACACACACACACATAATCAAACATGGTTTTCTTGTATACTGAGTATATCATGTACAATTATAATTACAACTGATTGAACAAACGTTTTTTAAACTTATCTTTGTGTTGTGGTTTTCATATCAGCCCTTTTGGGCTTCCAACCTCACATGGAAACACAGTTTTTACCAGTTTTTTTATCTGTACTGTTTTGTCTTTCACTTATTTTTTTTGGTGCAAAAAAATATTACAAAATATTAATACATAAAAAATAAACCTCACTGTGTACAAGATGAGTTATTTCTAGAGAGAGTGAGAACAAAAATGTTGCAGCTTGCCAGAAATAACTAAAGTGTACTTGTTTGAAGTTCAGTGTTCAACATTTTAAAGCAACAGCCCAATTGTGCACCATATAATCTAAAAACAGCACAGCATTGACAACGTGCTAATTCACCCTTCAACATGTCAAACAGATACAAATAGTCACAGAGAATAGTATTGGAAGTCTTGCCTGTGTTCTTAGGTCCTGTGCCCACACTCCTCTTCCTGATGAAGGACAGCCTAGTCTGGGGGTCAGTGGGGTGTGGAAGGGGCTGGGGGTCAGGGGTGTGTGGAGGGGGCTGGGGTTCAGGGGGGTGTGGAGGGTCTGAGCTGCTCCTCCTGGTTCTGGAGCTGCTGCTCATCTGCTGCAGTGTCTGGGTAATGCATCAGAAACAACTCCATCTCATACAGAGAGGGAAAAAAGTATTTGATCCCCTGCTGATTTTGTACGTTTGCCCACTGACAAAGAAATTATCAGTCTATAATTTTAATGGTAGGTTTATTTGAACAGTGAGAGACAGAATAACAACAACAAAATCTAGAAAAACACATGTCAAAAATGTTATAAATTGATTTGCATTTTAATGAGGGAAATAAGTATTTGACCCCCTCTCAATCAGAAAGATTTCTGGCTCCCAGGTGTCTTTTATACAGGTAACGAGCTGAGATTAGGAGCACACTCTTAAAGGGAGTGCTCCTAATCTCAGCTTGTTACCTGTATAAAAGACACCTGTCCACAGAAGCAATCAATCAATCAGATTCCAAACTCTCTACCGTAGCCAAGACCAAAGAGCTCTCCAAGGATGTCAGGGACAAGATTGTAGACCTACACAAGGCTGGAATGGGCTACAAGACTATCACCAAGCAGCATGGTGAGAAGGTGACAATGTGACAGGTTAAAGGACATATTCATAGCCTGTTATACACTAAAAAGTATTAGTAAGTTCATGGTATGTAAGGATCTTAAAATATCTAAGGTTAAAAAGATCATGCATTCAGTACTAGTTCATAGAGATTGATAAAATTCATAATTGTGTTAAAATCCGTCAAGTGTAAAAGGGTAAATATTGTAAGAGGAATCTGTAAACGTTATATTGACTACTTTATTTTGTGGTGCCTAATTTAAGGGTAAAAGTGTTAATCTGTGATCTACTAAATGCTCTTAATCTATGAGCCTGAGATCGATTGCTCTGGTCTCCACCCAACTTTCTGGGGAAATCGCAGTCTTTTTTCTCATTATACTAAAGTTTTCAGTGAGGAAACATAACTGCGTCACTCTCGTGATTATTTCTCCCCTTTTTCAGGTACGTTATTGATAAAACGAGATAATTTGAATGTAATAACTTGCTAACATGTCAAGAGAGTTTAAGGTATGTGTTAGTAACATCTTGAGTAAGTTAAGTTAAGTTGAAGGGAGTAATAGGTGCGTGTGTGAGTGAAACCTGCTTGGTTGCAGCGAAGAATAGCTTCGTACTGAGAGTAGCTGCCATTTTATGTTAATTGTGAATGAACATGTGCGCTGTTAATAATATATTTTGGGGTTATTTGTATAATGTGTTTCGAATACTTTGTTGACATGGTTGATAAATGTAGTTATGGGTTACTGAGCTAAAGCTACTTTGTGTTTGACAGTTATATTGAAACATTTGTATATGTTTTAGTGAATTACAGTTTATGCTGTTGTGACTTGAATAAGCTTTGTACCCTACAAAACTCTGGTTCCTGTAGATCTGTTGTTCTGTAAAATGTGGTATTTTTGTAAAAGGATTATACTAAAGTTTTCAGTGAGGAAACATAACTGCGTCACTCTCGTGATTATTTCACCCCTTTTTCAGGGGCGTAACAACAACAGTTGGTGCGATTATTCGCAAATGGAAGAAACACAAAATAACTGTCAATCTCCCTCGGCCTGGGGCTCCATGCAAGATCTCACCTCGTGGAGTTGCAATGATCAGTAGAACGGTGAGGAATCAGCCCAGAACTACACGGGAGGATCTTGTCAATGATCTCAAGGCAGCTGGGACCATAGTCACCAAGAAAACAATTGCCAGTCTCCAGACCTTAATCCCATAGAAAATCTGTGGAGGGAGCTGAAGGTTCGAGTTGCCAAACGTCAGCCTCGAAACCTTAATGACTTGGAGAAGATCTGCAAAGAGGAGTGGGAGAAAATCCCTCCTGAGATGTGTGCAAACCTGGTGTTCAACTACAAGAAACGTCTGACCTCTGTGATTGCCAACAAGGGTTTTGCCACCAAGTACTAAATCATGTTTTGCAGAGGGGTCAAATACTTATTTCCCTCATTAAAATGCAAATCAATTTATAACATTTTTTATATGCGTTTTTCTGGATTTTTGTTGTTGTTATTCTGTCTCTCATTGTTCAAATAAACCTACATTTAAAATTATAGACTGATCATTTCTTTGTCATTGGGCAAACGTACAAAATCAGCAGGGGATCAAATACTTTTTTCCCTCACTGTATCATACATTATTTACAGACTACAGATCAGTAGTGAACATGTAAACATTTTACCTCTTCGTGCCTGGCCTCTTGTTGCTCCTCTCTCCTGCGAAAGACTTCTGACCGGAGCCCCTCCACCTCAGCCCTGAGGGCCAGCAGGTGGAACAGAGATAGGGCTGAGAGAGACGATGAGGTAACCGCTGCCAGGGTCAGCAGCAGGACCGGCCAGGACAGCCTCCGACCGCCAGACTCCTGCCTAGGCACAGGGCCAACATCCTCAGAACTTGGACCTGCAGACACCATCACAGGGACCAGACAGCCTCCTCCGTAGTCACACAGACTGCATGACATGCCCTCTTAAGGGCTCTCCTCTTGGGATAGTAACGCTGGATCTTCAGTCTTTAGTCAATGTTTCTGGTATGTTCTGTTAAGTTCTAGTCTGTCTCCTGCTCTCTTAACTGTCTCGTCTCTCCAGACACTCCGTTGTCACTCCTTCTTAGCTTTTTCTGGACTTACTTTCTATGTACGACTCCTCTGTTAGTCCTTCCCTTACTTCCTCTTCTGTTTCTTCCAGGTCTTTCTTTCTCTCCTGTCTCAGTGACTGCACAGTCTGAACACCATGCTGGAATGGTGTATAAGGCAGGGTAGAGCAGCAGCCTCCCTCTTCTCTGTTCCGCTCGGTTAACCACAGTCAGAACTTCCTGCTCTGATGACGGCCAAGTCAAACCACCCTATCTTTTTATCCATCTCCGCTCTGTCCATCCTCCCCGCTCTAAACGACAAACTCTGTTTTCTCTCCGTCCACTTTAGTCTGAAAGGGCACAGCAGGGGAGACACATCTGATCAAGCTATAAAACAGATGTCAAATCATACTTAGTGTGGCACGGAAGAGGAAACGTAAGGATAGAAACATGATGACTCATATTTTGGTCTGAATAGACAGCTGATGACAGGATGGCTAACTAGAAAAGGAAGTGCAAAAATCTCCCCTTACATAAACCTATTTCTGTGAATGTGGAACCAGACCCTTTACAGAGAAACATATGTTGCTAAACATCACAGAAGAGAGAGATTAGCAGAACCTTGGGTTTATTCAGTTATTGCATGTTACTGTACAAAGAATAGAAAGTGAGATTGTGTACTTAGAAAAGAAGACTGAATATTTAAAAAACATTTGAGTAGTAAAATTACTGCAGTGGTTGTTTTCCTAAACAGAATGGATGCACAGTACAAGTTCAGTTCATGAGGGTACAGAGCTCTCAACTACAATACCCATAAGCCTCCAGCTCAGACAGCAGTGAACACCCATCATCATCGTCTCAATGTTTAGTCCTTCAACAAATCAGTGTATCAGTATGTTAACATATCATTCTGATCTCCTACATATCAACGCCAGCTTTCACTCCATTCTGAGACTTATAAACAATTGAATATCTGTAAAAAGGATATTTTACACAACGCTAATGCAACATGTAGAATAGCAATTGCTTTGAGATAAAGCATTAAGTTCAATATAACATTATTTATTTCACAATAGGACTTGGTCGGTGGTTAGTAATTGGGCAGGGCCAAAGATTCTAGTAGCAAAATTTCCCGCATTTATCACTTCAACAACTTTGGTGGGTGTAAGGCCAATTTCAGTCAAGTCAGGAATTTAATTGCACTCCTAGGGAGGAATTCTATGTCAAATGTATCTGACAGGATCTGAAATGGGTCTTGACTCCCCCTGCCTCCCACTGTTTACGGCGGATTGCCAGGTCATTGTCTACAGCAGGGGTGTCAAACGTACGGCCCGTGGGGGTTCAATCCGGCCCATGGGTGGTTTGAGGGGTGGGTGGGTTTCTTGACTGTGTCCAGCTTGCTAATAATCACTGAAATGAAAGCAGTCAGGGAGCATTGAATATTCCAAAAACGATGGATAGAGGGACTATTCCTAGCACATTTTGACGGCAAGGAAATAATATAAGACATTTTCAGTGCGGCCCTCCGGACCTGGTTAAAGACCAAATGCGGCCCCCGGGGCAAAATTAGTTTGACACCTCGTCTACAGGTAGTGGTGTGTGTAACCGATAGCTGTGTGTAACCAATAGGGTCAGATTGTGCCAGCACTACACACACACTTTCATATGGCAGCGAGCCAGTCAGTTCCTGCCATAGAGAAATATGGGCAATCTACTCTCAGAGAGGGTGGACCTGTACTGTAACGTCTACAAACACAACAGAGTCTTAGTGAGCTGGTCACCATACATGCACAACAAGCCAACCACTGCAGACTGAAAGCATGCAGCCCTTGTTTGGTGACAAAATGTCCCACATAATGCAGTATAATGCTGGGGATCTCATCTCACACAGTAGCCTACTGTTTCTCTTCATTTACAGCACACTGGTCAACTCACATCCACACTGACCGCACTGCATTCAGAAAGTAGTAGTCTAAATATTTAATAATAAGTGTGCTATATCAAAGTTAAAACAGTTAAAAAATAGAAATGTCTCTTGACTGTGACTGTTTCCGCTCAGTGATAAAAGCAGTTTAGTCTGAAGTTAGATTCTAGATCCAACATGTCTGCTGATTCTGAGTGTCTCTGTTTGGTGTATCAGAATGGCTTTGATACAGTAGAATGCTGCAGTGCAGTGAGTCGCATTCATTAGCGCACACCGTAGCAATACATTTTGTAACGAAACCCCCCCGAAAATGAGCATTTCTTATTGGACAAGTATTCCCTCCCTGTTATAATCTGTTAATGATCACGACCCAGCACGGTTAGAGTTTCTATTTGTCTAACTCAGCTCCAGTCCCTGGAAGACATGCAGGAAAAGTTAATTCGCTCGTTAAAAGCGCTCCAAGCAGGTAAAGCCATTTCTCCACAAAGAGCCATGGGGTGAAATGAGACACTAGCCTACTTGACAGAACAATTATTATGTTGAGAAGAATAGATTAACACAAATAATAATACAATTTAGTAACACAAGTCTCATGGTACTAACACAGAGATCAAAATGTAATCCTCACACACCTAACATGCACTCTATCCCACCAAAGTGTCCTTCACTTTCACAGGAAGCTAACAGAGCTAGGTTTTTTCAGGCAATGGTATTTGGGTGAGGGTCCTCTCGCTTTTAATAGTGTGCAGAGTTCAGAACATTGCAGATAGAAATGTATTGTACAGATAGACACGCCTTACATGTCATAATGCAGAATAGTTGTCTATTCTATATAGTACATTTCTATCAGCAACAATCTAAAGGTCACATCCACCTGAAAGCCCTGGTGTTGGCAACCAAGATAAAGGGTCATGGGTAAACTATGCAAAGAGTTGACAACAGCTCCAGCCACATCGGCGTTTACATTTATTGTCAGAGAATATACAGTGTAGAATGGGATTTATGCAACATTGGAATATAATCTGGCCATTTACAACAACAAAATAGTTTGGGAGTGAAACATTAAGTGAAACTGCAAGGTTGTGCATGCACCTTTTCACAGTACCACATACATAGCCAATATGATTCAGCCCATATGGCACTATCTATCGGCTGATATGAACGGGATTTTCGGTAAAAAGTCGAATATGAAACTATGAAGATACTACGAGGTCTATAAAATCCTCACACATGTAACTTTAAACAGTGTGTCATGAAATAACAGTAGATTACACAATTAAAATAAACTCAAACTTTTTTTATTGAATTACTGAAACACTATCATATTGGTCAAACATTTCTTATTGATTTACTGAAATGCTATTGTGTTAGTTAAACATTGTCATTGAATTATCGAAATTCAGGTGCACCTTTGGCAGACCTCCTCCAGTAGTTTATTTTCTTCTTCGTTTTTGAAGTGTTCTTAAAAAGTGTGGTTGTGTTTGACAGGACGAACATGGTTGTGTATGGTATGGTGTGTAAATCATTCAAAGAAGGCCATAACAAGTACATGTTCACCCACTGCAGTCATTGTTCACAAATAGACTTATGAAGACATTTCCATGTTAGTCACCCCCCACTTCAAAAGTACTCCCCAATTGTTTGATATGGTAGAGTTACAAATATGGAATAAGAGCATGATAAAACCCAAACCAAGACAAAAGTGTAGAAATTAACATTCTCTCCAACATGACCCTAGTAGCTCAGCCTAGTTACCGCTACCCCACCATAGGCACTTCAAGTAGATCATAAAGAACTGGACAGGTATAAGCAATATGGTAGCGGTTGGCTGCACCTTGCCCTAGCTTTTACCATATTGCTTATTACACCTCTTCAATGGTATCTGATCTAAACAAGTGACTAGGGAGTATGGACTGTAGGGTTTTCTCTAGACCACACCCACCCTCTTCCTCTCTCTAGATTAGATGATGGTGACGCTGGCTGTGGACTGGACACTCTCCTCACGGGTGTGGCTATTCATCAGGTCCTTGACAAACTGCTCCAGGGCGGCGAAGTAGCCCTGGCACTGCCACGTGTCGTTATGCGTGCCCTCAGAGAAGATGGCCAGCCGTTTAGTCCGTGCCGGCGACAGCTCGTAAAGTTGCTTCATCATGACAGGCGGGATGAGCTGGTCCGATAGGCCCGACACGAACAGCGAGGGCATCCGGCACAGCGGCACCTGTCTGTAGGACAGGAACTGGTTCCGGTAGAACCACAGGGGCAGTAGCCTCATGGGCAGGAAGGAGAAAAGCGTGGCTGCCATGTGCGGGATGCTGAGGAAGGTATTCTCCACCACGATGGCTGCCACCCGATGAGGGTTGGCCGAGGCCAGGCGCACCGCCACCGCGCCCCCCAGAGAGCGGCCGAACAGCATCACCTTGGTCTTGTCCAGGTCGGGCCGGGTCATCACATAGTCCAGCGTGGCCTGGGCATCCAGGCACAGGCCGTCCTCACTGGGCTCACCTTCGCTCTTCCCATACCCCCGGTAGTCCATCAGCACCACGTTGGCCTTCAGGTTCACCAGCATCAGCAGAGCGTTGGGCACCCGGTGCCCGATGTTGCCCGCGTTGCCATGGAAATAAAGGATGGTGGGCGGGGCCTTGGAGGCAGGGTTAGATGCATTGCCGGGGGCGACCCCGGGGTTGTCAAGGCTGTCTCCGCCGGTGTAGCGGAGCAGGATAAGGTTGAGGCGCACGCCGTCCTTGGTGCGGATGTAGACGTTCTCATGGGGGATGCCTGTGGGCGTGGCTACGTAGAGCCGGGAGGAGGAGGGCTGGTCGGGGAAATAGAGCAGCACGTCCTGGAACTTGTAGAGGATGGCGGCCACCGAGGCCAGGATGAGAGCCAAGAGAAAAAAGCCTCCGTAGAGGTGGAAGGTGAGGATGAGGGCCAGGAGGGAGATGCGACAGGCACCCCAGGACCAGGAGGCCAAGGCCAGGGCACAGCGCTCCACCGAGCCCCACAGCCTCCACGGCTTCTCCATGGCACAGAGGAGACACACAGGATCACACCACCATGACACACACTCTGTGCAGAGAGAGAGAGAGAGAGAGAGAGAGAGAGAGAGAGAGAGGAGAGATTGAAAATCATGACTGATGCACTGCACTAGACACGGACCACTCAAGAGATTTTTCATCTCCTCTCACAATTTACAGCTCAGCAAGCCTTCCACAGATGGGAATAACAAGGCCCTTAAATAAACAATTTACACGTCAGAGGAAACAGACACCAGTAGAGCAATGCACACCACACCCACACACAGACAAAGCCACTATCAAATCAGCTGATGTGCAGCCTTGCCTCAATGTTAAAGCAAGCGTGTCTGATATAGCTACAGTCTCAGCGGTGGTTAACTGGTGAAATTAGGCTGACTGCTTTCGCCCTAGGGTCATTGGACTATACAAGAGCCAGTAGTTCTTTCCCACATCATTCCACTGTTTGGCCTTAATCTGCCCAACCATTAAACTGATTAGAACCAAACACGCCTCAGTTACACAATACCTGGTTGGGGTTGAGACTGCAAATCAGCACCACTGTGAATTGGTTGGCAAATATGAGACAGGTATTTGACTATACAACATATGGTATGGTTGGTTCTAATGCACATGACAACAACTCATTGGAATAGAACATTCCAGCAGTCATTTATTTGCTAATAATTCCATCCATGTCACATCAGAGATGGTGTTTTAGAGCTAAAAACAACTGCCAAATGGGTCAAATTAGGAATGCAACTGTCAAGAAAAGCGTTATTATGATTGTCATGTTGTCAAAATAAATAACTGCTAACGTTATCTACCTTGCGTGCTGTCATGTCAGGTCATTGTCAACAACAAAGACTATTTGAACAGTTAACATTTAACTAGATAGCTATTTGCTAACTCTATAACCTGAAAAAGGGTTACACGTCCAGGCAGTGCATGCAGAAACATTATCTAGGCTAGCTATGTAAAAGTCGACAAGACGTAGTTTGCAAATTTAGCTAATTTTATGTGTCCCAAAATGCTCAAGCTTGCAGCTCCTTTCTGTGTGAACATCGATTTGTAATTCACATTGGAAAATGCCACCTACCTAGCATCAACTTGGCACATATACTGTATCCATCTAGCTAGCTACATACTTACCTCTCTCTCACCATTTAGCGATTCAACTGCATGCAGCGAGATAAAACTATTGCAGTCAACGGAGTCGCTGTCATTCGATCTAGAAGCTCACACAAAATGTATTTTCAGATATGAGCAGCTTGACAGAAACAACCCGGCGGAAAAGCTAACGCAGTTAGCTAGCTATCTACTTCCTGTGAGTATTTTTTTGTTTCCACTAGTTATCACAGCCACAAAGTATATCGTAGAAATTCATGAAAACAAACATTTGCTTTTTTTGTCTTAATTTAAGGTTACGGTTAGGCATGATGTTAGCAATGTAGTTAAGGTAAGAGTTGAGGTTAGGGTTAGGTCTGAAATCAGATTTTAAGAAGATACATGGTAGAAATGGGCGGGGTTTATAACTTTGTGGCTGTGGTAACTAGTGACGACCGTATTTGTTCCCTTCGTGTCACTTTTAGAAATACCGTGTAGAACGTGGCAAAAAAGAGAAAGAAGGTTCCACATTTTTTTCATTTCCAACTTCCAAAAAAACGATGTTCAACTGGTCTCCACTAGATGGTGATCTGTGAATATGGCTTTTTATGGCCAAGGCCCCCTGAGGGATGCAAAACTGGAGCATCTCACGCTAATCCATGGTCCATTGTAACATGCATAATAATAAGTAGGTATATATTTAAACCCCTAAATTATGGCAACGTAAGCGATAACCTCAGTTCGTCAGTGATTGTCATTCACAAAACATTGTAGCAACACAGCATTTTGTTCTATCATCTGCAAGGTCGATAAACAATTAAATTAGTGACTGATAGTTATAAAGCAGAATCATGGGAGAGGAAATACAACGAGTGTTCAAGCAGACATCCCCTCAGGGCTTGACATAAATAAACAGTGTTTTTGTTTGTTCAGGATTTTATTTGGTGCCACAGACAGCTGGAGCCAACATAAATAATAACCCCCCTGAGGATGTTGAGAATATCTTAAGCAGAGTGTGTTTGCACCAAAAGGTTGTTCGAATATCTCAAAATAGAACAGCATAAATTATGAGCACTTTATTTCCCACTCCTCCACAAAAAACACTGACAAAGGTCCACTGAGGGATTACTATAGGGAGCAGGTTTGTGTGTGTGGGGGTGTGTGTGCGCATAGGTGTGTGTGCGCGCGTGTGTGTGTGTGTACTGCCAGATGACATTAGATTGTAGAAACAAAATATAGCCACACAGTTATGTCAGTACACAAACAGAGGTGTCATACACAGTGGATCAAATTATATCCAACATTTTTCCAAACATGATGATGGATGAGAAATAGCACAGTGTTGTTTACTGTTGACATGAACTGCTTCATCTCCCAGTGACCTTGTAACGAAAGGCAGAGCTACAGAAGAATAAACTGCATCCCCACAGCACACACATCTCTACCTGATATTCTTCTGATCAACAAGAACACTTTTCTACCAGAGGTTTAGTTTAGCCGCAGAGAGAAGAAAAGGTAGGCTACCGCAAGTTCTACATTTGAATATATGTGACAATAGAAGCAGCCATTACAATAAAACAACCATGCAAACATTTTGCTTCCAAAAAACACACACACACACACACACACACACACACACACACACACACACACACACACACACACACACACACACACACACACACACACACACACACACACACACACACACACATACACACCCTCTATCCATGAAGGCAGCAGGAAGAGAGAGAGAGCGAGAAAGAGAGACACAAAGCACCCTCGGTGGTCACTTCTTAACTGGGCATCCTGCCCCTGGAGTCTCCCAGGGTGACTCTGAGGGTAGGTTCTGCTGTGTTTAATGTTACTAACTAGTCCTCCTCCGCAGGCTGACATTGCTGGGAACAGATAGACTGATGACATGTAGAGTGAGAAACAGCTCTTGACCACTCTGCTCCTCAGTCCTTCAACTTGATTTATCAGATTATCTGATTTACAAATGTTGAACTCACAACCGAATCATTGAAAAGGAGATTCTTGGTTTTCTAGAATCAAATTAAATTGAATTTGAGATAGACACACATATTTAAGGTACAGCAGGAGTAGGCAACTAGATTCAGCCGCAGCCTAATTTTTGTCGGAGCAAATTATACTAATTTGTACACTGCAAATTAACCACAACTAAGCCCAAAAAGAGATTGTATTTGAAAATAACAATAATTTAATACCTTGATTACTTAGAGACATGATCACATCTCTTTTTTTTTATGGGAATACCTACAGTGAGAGAAAAAAGTATTTGATCCCCTGCTGATTTTGTACGTTTGCCCACTGACAAAGAAATGATCAGTCTATAATTTTAATGGTAGGTTTATTTGAACAGTGAGAGACAGAATAACAACAAAAAAATCCAGAAAAACACGTCAAAAATGTTATAAATTGATTTGCATTTTAATGAGGGAAATAAGTATTTGACCCCCTCTCAATCAGAAAGATTTCTGGCTCCCAGGTGTCTTTTATACAGGTAACGAGCTGAGATTAGGAGCACACTCTTAAAGGGAGTGCTCCTAATCTCAGCTTGTTACCTGTATAAAAGACACCTGTCCACAGAAGCAATCAATCAATCAGATTCCAAACACTCCACCATAGCCAAGACCAAAGAGCTCTCCAAGGATGTCAGGGACAAGATTGTAGACCTACACAAGGCTGGAATGGGCTACAAGACAGCAGCTTGGTGAGAAGGTGACAACAGTTGGTGCGATTATTCGCAAATGGAAGAAACACAAAATAACTGTCAATCTCCCTCGGCCTGGGGCTACATGCAAGATCTCACCTCGTGGAGTTGCAATGATCAGTAGAATGGTGAGGAATCAGCCCAGAACTACACGGGAGGATCTTGTCAATGATCTCAAGGCAGCTGGGACCATAGTCACCAAGAAAACAATTGGTAACACACTACGCCGTGAAGGACTGAAATCATGCAGCGGCCGCAAGGTCCCCCTGCTCAAGAAAGCACATATACATGCCCATCTGAAGTTTGCCAATGAACATCTGAATGATTCAGAGGAGAACTGGGTGAAAGTGTTGTGGTCAGATGAGACCAAAAATAGAGCTCTTTGGCATCGACTCAACTCGCCGTGTTTGGAGGAGGAGGAATGCTGCCTATGACCCAAGAACACCATCCCCACCGTCAAACATGGAGGTGGAAACATTATCCTAAAGGGGGTGTTTTTCTGCTAAGGGGACAGGACAACTTCACCGCATCAAAGGGACGATGGACGGGGCCATGTACCGTCAAATTTTGGGTGAGAACCTCCTTCCCTCAGCCAGGGCATTGAAAATGGGTTGTGGATGGGTATTCCAGCATGACAATGACCCAAAACACACGGACGGCCAAGGCAAATAAGGAGTGGCTCAAGAAGAAGCACAGTAAGGTCCTGGAGTGGCCTAGCCAGTCTCCAGACCTTAATCCCATAGAAAATCTGTGAAGGGAGCTGAAGGTTTGAGTTGCCAAACGTCAGCCTCGAAACCTTAATGACTTGGAGAAGATCTGCAAAGAGGAGTGGGACAAAATCCCTCCTGAGATGTGTGCAAACCTGGTGGCCAACTACAAGAAACGGCTGACCTCTGTGATTGCCAACAAGGGTTTTGCCAAGTACTAAGTCATGTTTTGCAGAGGGGTCAAATACTTATTTCCCTCATTAAAATGCAAATCAATTTATAACATTTTTGATATGCATTTTTCTGGATTTTTGTTGTTGTTATTCTGTCTCTCATTGTTCAAATAAACCTACAAATAAAATTATAGACTGATCATTTCTTTGTCATTGGACAAACGTACAAAATCAGCAGGGGATCAATTACTTTTTTTCTCTCACTGTATTAAACTCATTCTTAGCTGAATTCCTGGCGATTTTACAGTATTTTTGGGCAAAATAAAAATACAAAAAATACAAAATAATATATATATATATATATATATATATATATATATATATATATATATATCATTGTTTTATTTATATTTCATTTTTTCTTTATTTTTTGTTACTAAAAACTTTTGGGGGCCCAAAAATAATTACTTGTGGGACGGTTTTGGCCCACGGGCTGCCTGTTGCCGACTCCTAAGTTACAGGATTCAGTAAATGAATAAAACAACGAAATAATATCTGTGCATCAAAGTAGATGTTGAATAACAAGTGACATTGTTGATACTGAGGTGTGTGAAGATCATGATAGCATATAGCAATAGAAGTCAATCATAAGGAGACAGACAATCTCCGCTGCCAATGAGATTCCCTGCTGTCGTTCACACCCACTAGGCCACAGCTGTGGCTAAGAGGTGGGATCACCAGAAGTAAGGAGGTGTCACTCCAGGATGACCGCTAGAGAGGGGATCAAGGGTCAGGGTTAACGGCAACATTAACTTCCTGGAAACGGTGTATCTGTTAATGTCCAAATTAGGAAGGAAGTTCTTTATCCATAGGACTGAAAGACTATAGCCTTGTACAACCATCCTGAAGTCTTGCAAGCTTACATTCTGATTCGCTACACAGATTCCAGCGGTCAGTGGATCAGGCTTTTGAAAGACGGTCTCATGTCTAGATTGTTTACTGAAACGGACTGGTGGGAAGAGCTTAGCTGCTTGCTGCTTGCTTCTGCTGGATCGGCATCAAGAGTATAGTACAGCTGGATCCAAGCATATCTCCACTTCTGTTAATGGATTCATCATGACTAATGTGAAGCTGTAAAAATATATTGTTAGGCAAAGAAAAGTAATTAGTGTGAGTAAGCTTAAAAGACAACATAAATGCAAATGAGGACACACCAATCCCACACATACACGCACGCACACATTCGCATGCACGCGCGCTCACACACATCTTAGGCACAACACACACGTTTGTCTCTTTTGGTTAGAAGGACACTGACATTGTGATGGATTCAGCTTATAAGAGACTGACAGTTGGCAAGTTCACTTTCTCTTCCTACGACTCAATTAACTTAGACATGCCAGTCAAAACATCTATTATAAGCACGCACAAACACACACACACACACACACACACCTCTTCTGGACACTTTCCCCAATCCCACGACTCAAATACTTTAGACGTGGCAGCGGTCTAAACAGCCGGCGGCCCTCTGCTCAATAACACAGAGTTAGGATAACACAGAGGCACTGGGACAGGCTGGCTGGGGATATGATGACACCAATTCACCTCACGTCACTCACAATACACGCCCAATGGCTTGAGAGGAGGGCTTGGACCATACAGTAAGACGCAATGACTGAGGTAGAAAGGCTGTCCCTTGGATCTACAGTAGTGAGTGAAATTGACTTCAAGATAAGAAGTACATTCTATTTATTTTTCAAATAATGGAATGTGTTTAATATCTTCTCTTTCTATTTTTGTCAATTGACATTTATTTATTTTTGTCAGAGATGTAACACAAATTCCCATTCTATGTTATGGTATCGGTCTTGATTGCTATGTCTTATTTGCATAGATTAATGTTTGTTGAATATAATGTGATACTGCCCAGCTATTAGTTGTGATACTCAAGGTGACAGATCTGGTGTCCGTGACTACAGTACATTAGATGAGTGGTCACCTTGGAGACAAGTATGGGAGTGAGTCAAAGAGTACAGCTACATACTGTAGCAACAACTCATTTAGAACTAGCATCCACTACTGCCTAAGACCACACCCACCCTCTTCCTCTCTCTAGATTAGATGATGGTGACGCTGGCTGTGGACTGGACACTCTCCTCACGGGTGTGGCTATTCATCAGGTCCTTGACAAACTGCTCCAGGGCGGCGAAGTAGCCCTGGCACTGCCACGTGTCGTTATGCGTGCCCTCAGAGAAGATGGCCAGCCGTTTAGTCCATGCCGGCGACAGCTCGTAAAGTTGCTTCATCATGACAGGCGGGATGAGCTGGTCCGATAGGCCCGACACGAACAGCGAGTGCATCCGGCACAGCGGCACCTGTCTGTAGGACAGGAACTGGTTCCGGTAGAAGTGGGGGGTGACAGTGATTTCTGGCTCCCAGGTGTCTTTTATACAGGTAACGAGCTGAGATTAGGAGCACACTCTTAAAGGGAGTGCTCCTAATCTCAGCTTGTTACCTGTATAAAAGACACCTGTCCACAGAAGCAATCAATCAATCAGATTCCAAACACTCCACCATAGCCAAGACCAAAGAGCTCTCCAAGGCTGTCAGGGACAAGATTGTAGACCTACACAAGGCTGGAATGGGCTACAAGACCATCGCCAAGCAGCTTGGTGAGAAGGTGACAACAGTTGGTGCGATTATTCGCAAATGGAAGAAACACAAAATAACTGTCAATCTCCCTCGGCCTGGGGCTCCATGCAAGATCTCACCTCATGGAGTTGCAATGATCAGTAGAACTGTGAGGAATCAGCCCAGAACTACACGGGAGGATCTTGTCAATGATCTTAAGGCAGCTGGGACCATAGTCACCAAGAAAACAATTGGTAACACACTACGCCGTGAAGGACTGAAATCATGCAGCGCCCGCAAGATCCCCCTGCTCAAGAAAGCACATATACATGCCCATCTGAAGTTTGCCAATGAACATCTGAATGATTCAGAGGAGAACTGGGTGAAAGTGTTGTGGTCAGATGAGACCAAAAATAGAGCTCTTTGGCATCAACTCAACTCGCCGTGTTTGGAGAAGGAGGAATGCTGCCTATGACCCCAAGAACACCATCCCCACCGTCAAACATGGAGGTGGAAACATTATCCTAAAGGGGGTGTTTTTCTGCTAAGGGGACAGGACAACTTCACCGCATCAAAGGGACGATGGACGGGGCCATGTACCGTCAAATTTTGGGTGAGAACCTCCTTCCCTCAGCCAGGGCATTGAAAATGGGTTGTGGATGGGTATTCCAAAACACACGGCCAAGGTAACAAAGGAGTGGCTCAAGAAGAAGCACAGTAAGGTCCTGGAGTGGCCTAGCCAGTCTCCAGACCTTAATCCCATAGAAAATCTGTGAAGGGAGCTGAAGGTTTGAGTTGCCAAACGTCAGCCTCGAAACCTTAATGACTTGGAGAAGATCTGCAAAGAGGAGTGGGACAAAATCCCTCCTGAGATGTGTGCAAACCTGGTGGCCAACTACAAGAAACGGCTGACCTCTGTGATTGCCAACAAGGGTTTTGCCAAGTACTAAGTCATGTTTTGCAGAGGGGTCAAATACTTATTTCCCTCATTAAAATGCAAATCAATTTATAACATTTTTGATATGCGTTTTTCTGGATTTTTGTTGTTGTTATTCTGTCTCTAAATGCTCAAATAAACCTACAAATAAAATGATAGACTGATCATTTCTTTGTCATTGGACAAATGTACAAAATCAGCAGGGGATCAATTACTTTTTTTCTCTCACTGTATTAAACTTATTCTTAGCTGAATTCCTGGCGATTTTACAGTATTTTTGGGCAAAATAAAAATACAAAAAATACAAAATGATATATATATATATATATATATATATATATCATTGTTTTATTTATATTTCATTTTTTCTTTATTTTTTGTTACTAAAAACTTTTGGGGGCCCAAAAATAATTACTTGTGGGACGGTTTTGGCCCACGGGCTGCCTGTTGCCGACTCCTAAGTTACAGGATTCAGTAAATGAATAAAACAACGAAATAATATCTGTGCATCAAAGTAGATGTTGAATAACAAGTGACATTGTTGATACTGAGGTGTGTGAAGATCATGATAGCATATAGCAATAGAAGTCAATCATAAGGAGACAGACAATCTCCGCTGCCAATGAGATTCCCTGCTGTCGTTCACACCCACTAGGCCACAGCTGTGGCTAAGAGGTGGGATCACCAGAAGTAAGGAGGTGTCACTCCAGGATGACCGCTAGAGAGGGGGTCAAGGGTCAGGGTTAACGGCAACATTAACTTCCTGGAAACGGTGTATCTGTTAATGTCCAAATTAGGAAGGAAGTTCTTTATCCATAGGACTGAAAGACTATAGCCTTGTACAACCATCCTGAAGTCTTGCGAGCTTACATTCTGATTCGCTACACAGATTCCAGCGGTCAGTGGATCAGGCTTTTGAAAGACGGTCTCATGTCTAGATTGTTTACTGAAACGGACTGGTGGGAAGAGCTTAGCTGCTTGCTGCTTGCTTCTGCTGGATCGGCATCAAGAGTATAGTACAGCTGGATCCAAGCATATCTCCACTTCTGTTAATGGATTCATCATGACTAATGTGAAGCTGTAAAAATATATTGTTAGGCAAAGAAAAGTAATTAGTGTGAGTAAGCTTAAAAGACAACATAAATGCAAATGAGGACACACCAATCCCACACATACACGCACGCACACATTCGCATGCACGCGCGCTCACACACATCTTAGGCACAACACACACATGTTTGTCTCTTTTGGTTAGAAGGACACTGACATTGTGATGGATTCAGCTTATAAGAGACTGACAGTTGGCAAGTTCACTTTCTCTTCCTACGACTCAATTAACTTAGACATGCCAGTCAAAACATCTATTATAAGCACGCACAAACACACACACACACACACACACACACACACACACACACACACACCTCTTCTGGACACTTTCCCCAATCCCACGACTCAAATACTTTAGACGTGGCAGCGGTCTAAACAGCCGGCGGCCCTCTGCTCAATAACACAGAGTTAGGATAACACAGAGGCACTGGGACAGGCTGGCTGGGGATATGATGACACCAATTCACCTCACGTCACTCACAATACACGCCCAATGGCTTGAGAGGAGGGCTTGGACCATACAGTAAGACGCAATGACTGAGGTAGAAAGGCTGTCCCTTGGATCTACAGTAGTGAGTGAAATTGACTTCAAGATAAGAAGTACATTCTATTTATTTTTCAAATAATGGAATGTGTTTAATATCTTCTCTTTCTATTTTTGTCAATCGACATTTATTTATTTTTGTCAGAGATGTAACACAAATTCCCATTCTATGTTATGGTATCGGTCTTGATTGCTATGTCTTATTTGCATAGATTAATGTTTGTTGAATATAATGTGATACTGCCCAGCTATTAGTTGTGATACTCAAGGTGACAGATCTGGTGTCTGTGACTACAGTACATTAGATGAGTGGTCACCTTGGAGACAAGTATGGGAGTGAGTCAAAGAGTACAGCTACATACTGTAGCAACAACTCATTTAGAACTAGCATCCACTACTGCCTAAACCCAGTTCCAGGCCCCAGTGTTTGTGTGTGTCTGTTTGTGTATATGTGTGTGCATGCGTGCGTGCATTGGTGTGTTTGTCCTTGCTTGCTTGTGTGTGTGCATGCGTCAATTCAAATCTAATCACATTTTATTTGTCACATGCAACGAATACAGCTGATGTACTTTACCGTGAAAATGCTTGCTTAATAGAAGTTCCCAACAATACAGAGTTTAAAAATAAAAATACAATAGTTAACACAAGAGGAATAAAATAAAATACACAAGAATGGAGCTATATACAGGGTGTACCAGTACCAGATCAATGTGCAGAGGTATGAGGTATTTGAAGTAGATATTTACAAGAAGGTAGATATGTACAAGGCAGGGTAAAGTGACTAGGTATCAGGATAGATAATAATAAGAGCAAAATAAAGAACAGAGTAGCAGCAGAAAATGTTGAGTGTATGTGTGTTTGTGTTATGTCAGTCTGCGTGTGTGTGTTGTGTGTGTGGGCGTATGTAGTGTATGTGAATGTGTGTGGGTTTTGTGTGGGAGTGTCAATGTAGTGTGTGTGAGTGAGTGTGTATATGGTTTGTATATATAGTCTAGTGAGTGTGCGTGGGGTCAGTGCAAGATAGAGTCAGTGCAGATAGTTCGGGTAGCATTAATTGACTATTTAGCATTCTGGCTATTTAGCAGTCTTATGGCTTGGGGGTAGAAGCTGTCTCTGAGCCTGCTGGTCCGAGAGCCAATGCTCCGGTATTGGCAATTTTTGGGGCCTTCCTCTGACACCGCCTGATATAGAGGTCCTGGATGGCAGGGAGTTCAGCCCCAGTGATGTACTGGCCTGTACGCACCACCCTCTGTAGTGCTTTGCGGTCAAGGGCGATGCATTTGCCATACCAAGCGGTGATGCAGACAGTCAATATGCTCTTGATGGTGCAGCTGTAGAACTTTGAGCATCCAAGGGCCCATGGCACTTTTTTTTAGCCTCCTAAGGGGGAAGAGGAGTTGCAGTGCCCTCTTTACGACTGTGCAGGCATTTGTGGACCATGTTAAGTCCTTAGTGATGTGGACGCCAAGTAACTTGAAGCTCTTGACCCGCTTCACAACAGCCCAGTCGATATGGATGGAGGCCTGCTGTCCCCTTTTTCTCCGGTAATCCACGATCAGCTCCTTGGTCTTACTGACGTTGAGGGAGAGGTTGTTGTTCTATCACCACACTTCTAAGTCTCATCGCTGTCGGTGATCAGGCCTACCAGCGTCATGTCGTCAGCAAACATGATGATGGAGATGGCAGAGGTGTTGTTGCCTACTCTCACCACCTGGGGCCGGCCCGTCAGGAAGTCCAGGATCAAGTTGCAGAGGGAAGTGTTCTGTCCCAGGGTCCCTAGCTTGGTGATGAGCTTGGAGGGGACTATGGTGTTGAACACTGAGCTGTAGTCTATTAACAGCATTCTAACATATTTATTTCCCTTCTAGTCCAGGTGGGAGAGGGGCAGTGTGAAGTGTGCCCGTTTGTGTGTGTGAGTCAACCTGCAGAGGATGACAGAACTAACCTGACCGGCGATAATGTGCTTCCTCTATTTTCTCCCTAATATCCCAGATTCAAAATTAACTTTATTTTCTCCCTAATACTCCAGATTCAAAATTAACTATATTTTCTCCCTAATACCCCATATTCATAATTAGCTCTATTTTCTCTCTAATAACCCAGATTCAAAATTAACTCTATTTTCTCTCTAATACCCC